TATGTAGAAGAACCATTGTATTTTACATATCAACCAAACAAAAATGACTATTATGGATTATAATTCATTGAACTTGTTGAATTTCTGTGCTCAGAATAATTATGTAAAACCTGTAAAAACAAAGACAAACATTGAGAGACAGAGAAATAGAATGAAATTACTGGAGGAGTCGGAATGAGGGCAAATTTAGGAGAAGCATGTGTTAAGCAGCCAGGTCTAGATATTATAATAAAATGTGGTATGGTCCACAGTTTGTTTGAGGGTCTATTGTGTGACCGTTCCTGAGCCCTGCATCCTCCAACATTGGGGGTATTTCCCTTCTGTCTGTTATCTTGAACAGCTTCTCCCTGATGTCTGTTGATAGGGGCATCTCCTGTAACTACTGCACAGTGCGGGAATAACTACTGTCCACACAATGCTATGGAGGTGGAAGGAATTATGATATCTGGAGGAGGGTCTATGGAGTTTAAGCTTGAGATATTGTTTCCATGGTTTTCCATATGGCCTTATGAGGTAAGAGAATGGTTTTAAGCTTACCACATACAGAAATTTAGTACAATCTTATCTACTATAACATTAAAATAGTTTTGAGGTTCTCTGCAGTCGCAAGGGGAGAATTTGGGGGCTGAAGCCCCTGATGTAGGGCTCTTTAGCCCCTGATCTCTACAGTCAGTGCAGGGGCAGGAAGATATACGTCTTTTATCTTTTATTTTATAACAGACAGGTGCTTCTCAAAGCACCATTCTGTTAGACAATGATCAATAGTTCAGTAGGCTACATATGGGGAGATTGGAAGGTGCCACCCAGGTAACTGTTGGCAGGAGATGGCGAATAGAACCTTGCTGCACTCCCCTGTATTAGAGTGGTGATCACATTGGATCCCTGACTGTGCAGCATATACTTTCATCTGGCTTCATGTGCTTGCATTGAGATTCAGGAGAGCATCGGCAGCCGCTGGTCATGGGTAGTGGGCATGAGACATAACATAGAAAGGCAGAGAAATGTCAGGACTTATCCTCACCTCTCTGTTAGTGTAGGGGACATTGAGTGTTTCTAGAATCTAACAATGCCCCTGGTTCCTTTTGTGCACTTTGGGTGCTTTCACGTTGGTGCTTTCACTTCTAGACTTTTATCTGTTACCCTTAGAGGGATATATACGATGGATTCTTCCCACAGGCTGGATCATGTTGGGGTTGAGCACCCTTTCATGATTTTTCATTCATAATTGAGCTTAAAGTGACACTCCAGAACCTTGAAGCACTTCAGACTGTTGTTGTACTTTAGGAGTTAACTTTCCCTTACGTATTGGGTGTGTGCAGGGTTAAATGCATGCTCACACCAGGGAGCCCCAGATATCAATAGATACCCAGGACTCCTGTAAGTCAGCTGAGGCCATTCTTAGTTGCTCCAGACTGACAAATGAGCTATTTAACTCATTCATTAAAACCGCGCTCAGTCTTGTTTTTTTGGAAGACTGCAGGCAGCTTTGGGGAGACCCTCCAGGGTCTGAATAGATCTTGACAACAGTTACCAGTCTGTACACTGGGTACTGGGCTTAGCCATCCTCCAGCACCGATCTCTGTGTCATCGACTAAGAACCAGGCTCATAACATACCACCATCTACTGTGCCAAATACAGTAAAACCCATTTCTGATATAACTGATATTAGCAGTGTGTTAGGGTTTGGGTTAGAGGTGGGGCTAGGGTTAGATTTAAGAGTAGAGTAGGGTACGCTTAGTGTTGGGGTAGGGTTACGATTAGCTTTAGGGTTCGTGTAAGGTTAGGATAAGGTATGGATTAATGCAGCTTTAGGATTAGAGATTTTGTAGTGTTGAAGCTAAGCGTAAGATTAGTGTAGGCATACCGTTAGAGTTAGTGTAAGCATTGCATAAGGGGTATGGTTGGTATAATATTAGTGGTGGGATTGGTATAGAGTTAGCATTAATTATCAAAAATGTATTCAGATCCTAAACATATTGAGAATTTAACAATCTGGACTGACATATAAATCTATTTTGAGTTCTTTTTAATTAGTTGCACTGGATGTGTAATAATTATTATAATCAAAAATGTGAATTTGATTTTTTTTCCTTTTTTTTTAATTCTTAACATTTTATTCACACGTAATGTTGTTTTAGGTATACATACAGGGTTTCAAGATAGACCTTTAAATTCCAGTGGAACAAACCTATAGCTGAAATTCAAGGTTTTTGGTTTAGAACATGGACCATTCCCTCTATCCTGAAGGGGTTAAGGAACACTATAATACAATTATTATTTATTATTATAGTGTTCAATAAAGGAGGTCTGTGACGATATGGTTTTGTAGCCTCCAGTGTAGAGCTGCATGCCATCAGAGTACTGGTGAATGCGTTGACCTCTCTCTCTCTCGGTCTAGGTCTGGAGGGTCTTTAGAACAGATATTACACAGCGAATGTTGATAAAACATAATATACATGTAAGCTAAGGCAGTGGTTCCCAAACTTTTTAGGTTCAAGGCGCCCTTAATATGTCAATATTTTTCCAAGGCACCTCAAGTCAAAACAATTTTGTACATTGTATATATGTACAATGCTACAGCACATACTCTTGGGAGTGGCACTGGTAGATTATTCAAAGAAACAATCCAGGCACAATAACCATTGTATTACGCTGTAGTGGTTATGGTGCCAGAAGTGCCGTAGTGCCCTCCCAGGGTAAGTAGTCAAACTGTTTAAGAACAGTTTGACAACTTACCTGGGGTCTGCCGGGATAGGGGCTGTAGAGTGTGTGTGTGTGTGGAGTGTGTGCAATATGTGTGTGTGTGAGGGTTGCAGTGTGTGTACAGGGGTGCATTGTGTTTGTGAATGATTTAGTTTAAGTGTGTGTGTGTGTGTGAGAGAGGTGCAGTGTGTGTATGTGGGGCATTTTGTGCATGAGGGGCACATAGGCGTGCGCAGCCTATTGCATTAGGGTGTGCACCCTAAAGCACAAACACACGCCGCGTGTATATGTATGTGTGTGTGTATATATATATATATATATATATATATACACACACACATACATACACTGCTGTGTGTGTGTGTGTGTGTGCTGCATGAGGGTGGTTTGAGGGTGTTGTGTGTCTAAGGGTGCTGTGTGTGTGTGTGTGTGTGTGTGTAAGGGTGATGTGTGTGAGGGTGCTGTTTGTGTGCTGTGTGTGTGTGAGGGTGTTTGTGTGTGTGTGTGTTTGTTTGTTTGTTAGGGTCCTGTTAGTGGGCTGTGTGTGTGAGGGTGATGTGTGTGTGTTTGTGAGGGTGCTGTTTGTGTGCTATGTGTGAGAGGGTGCTGTGTGTATGAGGGTGCTGTATGTGTGTGGGTGCTGTATGTGCGAAGGTGCTGTTTGTGTGTGGATGCTGTGTGTGTGTGTGGGTGCTGTGTGTGAGGGTACTGTGTGTGTGTGGGTGCTGTATCTGTGTGTGTGTGGTGTATGTGTGTGAGGGTGCTGTGTTTGTGTGTGTGTGGGTGCTGTATATGTGTGTGTGCTGTGCGTGTGTGTGTGCTGTGCGTGTGTGTGTGCTGTGTGTGTGTGGGTGCTGTATGTGTGTGGGTGCTGTATGTGTGTACTGCATGTGTGAAGGTGCTGTGTGTGTGTGTGTGTGCTGTATGTGTGTGCTGGGTGTGTGGGGGTGCTGTATGTGTGAAGGTGGTGTGTGTGTGTGTGTGCTGTATGTGTGTGTGTGTGTGCTGTGTGTGGGTGCTGTGTGTCTGGCTGTATGTGTGTAGGTGCTGTGTGTGTGCTGTATGTGTGTGGGTGATTGTGGGGGTGGAGGTGGGGGTACATTACTTAATATCCCCCGATCCCTTCTTATCTTATGTAGGGAGGGGGGATCGTGCTGCTGCTTTCCCTGGTGGTCCAGTGGAGAGTGAACTCTAGCCCCTATGGGGCAGCAACACTCAGATTTTACAAGAGGAACCCGGCGGAGCTGCTGGTTGAGGTCCCCGGGTCCTCTCCTGCCTCCCTCCCTGCTGCAGTGGGGAGGGAGGCTGAGAGTAGAGCCGTCACTCGAATAGCGCTGGCTCTGCATGAGCCGACAGGGTAGATCTTGAGATCTCCCCTGCCGGTCTCACTCCATAGGCGTGCCGCGGGGATTCGGGTGTGCCCAGGCACACCCGGCACACCCCGTGCGCACGCCTATGGAGGGGCACAGTGTATGTGTGGGAGGGCAGGTTGTGTGAGAGGTATAGTGTGTGGGGGGTGCAGTGTGTGGGGGGGAGTGTACCGTGTGGGGGGTGCAGTGTGTGTTTGAGGGGTACAGTGTGTATGAGGGGTACATTGTGTATGGGGGCAGTGTGTATGGGTGGGCAATGTGTGTGTATGGGGGTGTAATTGTGTGTATAGGGGGGTAATTGTGTGTATGGGGGTAATTGTGTGTATGGGGGGTAGTGTGTGTATATGGGGAATTGTGTGTGTATGGGGGCAGTGTGCGTGTTTGGGGGATAGTGTGTGTATGGGGGTACTGTGTGTGTATAGGGGGGGCAGTGTGTGTGTACGGGGGAGTTATTGTGTGCTGTGGGTCTGTGGGGGTAGGAGGGCAAATTAATGAATATATACTTTGTTTTTTTTAAATTAAAAATAAAAATGATATCCCCCCCTCCCTGCTTACCTTTGCCTGGGAGGGGGGACATTTCCTGTAATCCCTGGTGGTCTGGTGGGGAGGCCCTGGTGGTCCTAGTGGAGAGAGTGAAATCTTGCAGCCTCAGGAACTGCTAGAGTTCACTCTTGCGAGATTTGGAGCATTGCCGTGGTAACCGCTCCCCCAGGTCCTCTCTCCCTGCCCTGCCTGTCAGCAAAGTGCTAGCGGGATGGAGAGGGAGATCTATGATCTCCCCTCCGGTACTGCAGAGCCGGCAGGGAAGAGCACCGGGAAAATAACTTGTGGCTCCCCTGTGTGCCACTGAGCTAAGGGCTTATCCTGCTATGTTACCCAAATATGCTGCTAGGAAAGAGATGATTGGATGTTGGAGTTCTGCACTGCTATTTACGCATCGAGTCAATCACGGTTGTTGTTTCCTGCAGAAATATAACAATAAAACTAAAATTCAGTTTTAATAAATTTATCTCCAGAATCTGGTGATATATTATGCCTTTATTTTTTTCAAAAAGTATAACAAGTTTTTTTGGATCAATTCTCGTCACAACCATTTGGAAACAAGTCGGTAATTGCTAAATTGGCCAATGCTATTGTTGTGGATTATCGGCTGTTTTCAAGCTACAGTTTGTAATGTCTAATGACTGGTAATTAGCAGCTGACGAAGGTTTTAATGTCTTGTGCAGAAAATTATAGATAATGCTATGTAACACCTGGTTTCTTTGCTAGACAGTATAAATTACCACCTGGCCCCGTTCTGTTTAAAATTACACCTGCCCTATCTAGGTGTCAAGAGAAAAAGACAAGTTAACAACTGCGAAGTTTCAATGTACTTTATATTAAAAATTACATTGACAGGGTTATTCAGTAAGGATCGAACACAGTCTGCATTAGTAAAAGTGTATTAATATGCCTGAATTTCAACAGAATTTGCAATTCTCATGTTTTTTTTTAAAGGTGTTTCACACCTGAGTTATTTCAAATGAATAAGCTTTCTTCATCCGATGTTACCTTGCTATATTGTGCCTGCTCTCAGGGTCGGCGCGTCCATAAGGCAGCACAGGCAGCCGCCTTAGGGTGCACCGGCTGTGGGGGGGCAAGATTCTAGTGACCAGCAGGAGGGAAGCGCTCCCTCCTACCATATTATGGACCCCCGGCGGGGCATGCGGCTGTGTTTGAATCCGAGGTGGCGAGGGAGCTCTGATCTCCCTGCTCTGCTTCCTCGCGCGCTGCTTGCTGATGCCGTGGGAGCCAGAATATGACCGCAAAGGCACGGGGGAGCAGAGGAGGGAGATCACAGCTCCCTCGCCACCTTGAATTCAAACACAGCCACACGCCTCCCAGCAGCCCCAATGGACCCCAGGGACAGCAGCTCTCCAGGTGGGTGGAAAATGATTAATTATAAAAATATTAATAATTAGTGAGTGTATGAGTGTGTGTGTCTGTGAGTGTGTGCGTGTGTCTGCCAGTGTGCGTGTGTGTCTGTCAGTGTGTGTTTTAAGTGTCTTTCAAATCGGTGAGAGTATGTTTGTTATTAAGTCTGTGTATGACTGTCAATGAGTGTCTGTCAGTGTGCGCGTGTGTGTCTGTCAATGAATGAGTGTGTGTCAGATCAGTGAGTTTGTGTCTGTCAGTGACGTCTGTGTGTTTTGTCATTGATTGTGTGACTGTCAGTGTGTATACACCACTGAGTGTAGCGTGGTGGAGTGGAGCCCGGTACAGCAGCTTCTGTTTCCTGTACCCGGCCGGACTGACAGGAAGTGCTCACTGAGAGAGCACTTCCTATCAGTCTGGCCGGGTACAGAAAACTGAAGCTCCTGTATGGGGATCCGCTCAGCCATGCTACAAGCGAGGTAGGAGGCACACACCAGGGTAGGGTACCATTAAGGGGGTGGGGGATGCACCAAGGGACAGGGAGGGGAGGGGAGAGAAACACTAAGGGACAGGGAAAGGAGCAGGGAGTGGAGAGGAACACTAAGGGACAGGAAAGGGAGGAGACCACTAATGGAGGAGGAGGGGCTATGTGAAAGAAACACACAATGGGTCTTGAGAAGGGGAAAAATACACACATAGGGGCTGGGTGGGGAGACAGATGGGCTGGGGGTAAAAGAGACACACACAAAGGAGTTGGGAAGAGCAAAAGACACAAAGGGGCTGGAATAGGAGTCACACAAATGGGCTGGGAGGAGTAAGACACACAAAATGTGGGAGAATGTAAGAGTGATACAAAGAGGAGTACAAACAGAGGCGGCTCTAGACTTTATGAGGCCTTAGGCGAAACTCAAACATGAGGCCCCACTAACAAAAATGTGAAAACAATAGAGTTGCAATACATGCACACTTTCACATATACATATTGATGCACAGTTTACCTGTGTACGTGCCTGAGAATGTCTCTGTGAGCATGTTTGTGTTTTTGTCTGGGACCCTATGTGTATGAGATAGCTGCTTGAAGTGTGTTGTGTGTATGGGGATGGGTGATGATGAGAGGGAGTGGGTGATGGGAGAGTGGGTGATGGTGAGAGGCAGAGTGGGTGATGGTGAGAGGGAGAGGCGGGTGATGGTGAGTGGGAGAGGGGGTGATGGTGACATGGGGTGATGGTGACAGAGGGTGATGGTGGCAGGGAGAGGGAGGTGATGTTGAGGGAGGGGGGTTTATGGTGAGGGTGGGTGATGTGGAGGGTGAGGGGGGTGATGGGAGGGATGTTAGGGGGATGATGTTGAGGGAGGGGGTGATGGCTGATGGTGAGGGGGGTGATGCTGAGGGAGGGTGATGGTGAGGGGTAATGCTCTGAGGGTGGAGGGGTGATGTGGGGTGATGCTGAGGGTGGTGAGGGGGTGAGGAGGGGTGGGGTAATGCTGAGGGTGGTGATGGGTGAGGGGGGTGATGCTGAGGGTGGTGAGGGATGCTGAGGGTGAGGGAGGGTGATAGTGAGGGGGTGATGCTGAGGGTGGTGGGGTGGTTATAGTGAGGGGGGGTGATGCTGAGGGTGGTGAGGCGGGTGATAGTGAGGGGGGTGATGCCGAGGGCGGTGAGGTTAAGGAAGGGGGGTAATGTGAGAAAGAGGGGGTCTGATGGGGAGAGGGGGGAGATAACATACTCTTTCTTCCCTGGTGGTCCAGTGGGCTCCCTGGTGGTCCGTGGCCATTGCTTCCGGTCTGTAGCTGCGCAGAGCTGCAGACCATGTAATCTCACAAGATCATCAGAGCGTTGCTGTGGTAACGTGCGGCAATGCTCTAATTGGCCAGCTCTCGCGAGACACATGGTCTGCAGCTCTACTCACTGTGGAGCTGCAGACGGGTGTCTGCGGTAACTGGCCGGGCAGCCAGAAGGGGCCTCGCACCTGGCGGCATACCGGGCAAGCCATCGGGTCCTTGGTCACTGACCGAGGACCCGACACAGTCTGCCCTCAGGCGATTTAGGCGGCCGCAAGGCCCCAGCCAGCGCGAGGCCTTAGGTAGCCGCCTAAACCACCTAATTAGAGAGCCGCCCCCGGGGATAAGAGACACACAAGGAGGGTTGTAAGATATACACAAGGGAGTTGTAAGACACACAATGGGTAAAAATTTGAAGATAAGATACACTAAAGCGGGTAAGACATTTAAAAGAGAGGATAAGAAACACAAAAGGGAGGTTAAGAGGCACACAAGTGAAGATGTTATTTGGAGGTGGGGGGGGAGAATGCAGTGTCTGCATTGAAATTAGTACTTCACACATGTAAACCCTATATAAAATATAGGAATAAAATACACCAAATTTGATTGCGTGGAGCAAGGACTGGAAGCTGCAGGGTGATTAGTAATCATATGAATAATTAACATGGTAATTAATAGACAATCAACTTCTGGATCTCCAAATCACGACTCATTACTCATTACCCATCCTTTGATGCTGTCTTTTCCAGTTCCAAAATATAAGACTCCATCTTTCCCACCCAAAAATGTGTTAACAGGAATATATAGACATGTTAGTCACATTTACCCTTTATAAAATGAGTGAGCGGAAGCAGATATTATGATGGGGTCACTTTCAGAATTCTTATACATCACAATAAAATTGCAAATTAAAGCTATTAACTGCTCATTATTGTGAGAGGTATTAAGAAATTAACAAAAGTAACAAATAATTACCAATGATTGATCAAACTTGAGCGTTAATAAATGCATATCAATCATTTAATATACACGAAATTTCTACCAGATTAACTCTGTTTAAATCTGATACAAGGCAAATTTGCTAGATAAATCCACCTGCTTTTTGCAGGAATGTCTTCAAAAACCCCCAGTCATAGCCTACTGACCCTGACAGCACAACAGTCAGGAGGTAGAGGACTACAATAGTAATTGGCAAAATATAATGAACTTATACCTTATAATACTTATAATAAGTTAACATACATTTATACATCGTAATAACTCTGCTTTAATTATTGGGAAATATTAGACTTCTCAATGAAGAAGGTCACTCCACTGCATAAATACAAAATATATAAAAAAAATAAAATTAAAAAAAAAAACACTCTTCAGTAGATATATGCCATATGAAAACATACAAGACATTTGATATGCATTTTTTTTATTGGAGGTATATCCAAATACTGTTTGCAAAAGATCTCTTGTCTGCAGCCTTTGCAAGCTCTCTCCTTTTCCCCAGTCCAGACTGTTTGTGGCTGTCCAATCACAGAGCAGCTTAATGAGAAGTCTTTGCAAGGCAGTTGCTCTAGGCAAAACAACCAGGAAGTAACAGGAACAGTTGCTTGATTGACAACATTCAGGGGGTATAACCAAGTTAATTTATAAGAGTGACAATTTCTATTAAAACCTGCACGTTTTGTAAAAATAAATAATAGGGCACACTCTTCACACATAAAGCATTTATAGTAAGCTAAAGTGCTTTAGGGATGGGTCCAGAGTATGCCTTTAACTCTTTCTGTAATAATTTATCTATCAAACTAGTTCTAGACTGGGTGCCTCTGCCAATTGCTGCTTCCTAGCAACGACGAGTACTTCCAGCACTCCACCAGACTCCATCAACACAGTAGTCCCCACTTTACAGCGTTACAGCTTGGCTTGGCCCAATACCAGGATCCAGCTTTCAGCAGGTGATCCTCTCCTACTCCAGAGAGTGTAGCAGGTATAGCAGTAGCAGGAACATCTCTTACAAGTGCTAGTGATTATAGCACTCCAAGCAGAAGGGAGACAGCTGTTATAGCTTTCTCCCACAAACATAAGACAAGGCTCTATGCTGTGGGGCAACTGGTTTTAATGGGGCCACACACAGCCTTTTATGACAATCCTCATGCAAGAGGCACTCCCCCCTGGACCTGATGGAAGCCTGCAACAAAATTAAACAAACCAATGACATTGGCCCCCAGGTCCAGGACACTCCCATACAGATACTAACTTAATTATCTCCAGGCACAAAAAACTAAATTTTCCACAACACCCCAAAAGTATACCCAAAACCCATAGAAACCGCACAAAAGTTACATCCCCTGATAGCCCCGATCTGGATGACCAACATATCCAAAAATCACCCAGATCGGTTCAAGGGTTCAGGAATTTCAGGAGTTTGACCGACCACACACATGGTCCCATGCCCAAAATAGTTCCATAGAATCGCGGCTGGGGACCGAACAAAGTCTTCATGCTGAAAGTAGTTCCAGGGCATTCGGGGCTAAGCCCCCCTGAAGTCTATTCACAGTTTTGGTCCATGCGACCATCTGCCAGGGAGCTAGCGTACGGTTCTATGCGCACAAATGGAAAGTGCCAAACTAGGGGGAATAAAATATGGGTCTTTACAGTCACTGACCTGGCCCATAGTCTTTTGGCAGGAGGCTGCCAAGCAGGCCCCTCCAAAAGCCAGTGGCAAGGCTCTGTTCACCACATATCTCCCCTCCCAAGGTAAGACTAACCAGACCTGATTTGTCCTGTATGTCCCAGGCTGCTGAGTGGGCGTCCATCACCCCAGATCTCCCTTGTGCTCCCAGGCATGGAGTTGTAGGTTCTTGGTGGGCAGAGGCTAGCGGCACTCTGCCCTGTATCAGGCGCTTCTGCTGGGGTGGCCTGTGGGTATTCAGGCCCTGGACAAAGGGAAAGAGGAGGGCAGAGGCCAGCTGCTCTCTGCCTGGATGCCGGCTCTTCTGCTGGATGTGGTTTGGTGGAGATCGCCATCCCATCCACTATCCCCAGGACCTGGTTGGGCATCTCCTGTGGAGAAGGGAAAACGCTCACCTCCACCCTTTGGTATTCCCACTGGGGCTGTTGGGGATCTGGGATGGCTGCCCAGAATCCCTATAGGGCCTGTGGAGGGACCAGCTGTCCCCTCTTCCGATATCTCTGGCTGCCGCTGGGGAGAGGGACTGGTTGTCTCCTCTCCCTGTAGGGTAAGCTGCCACTGGGGAGTAGGACTGACTGTCCCTACTCCCGGCTGTGGTTAAGGATCTGGGCCGGCTTCCCAGCATCCCTGTAGGGCGTAGGCAGAGACCTCAGTCCCATCTGTCCCGGACAATTGGATGTCCTCCCCGGACAAGTTGATCAGGTCCCCTAGTTCTGGAACCTCTGGCTGCTGCTGGGGAAATTTGTCTCCTTTCCCTGTAAGGTAAACTGCAGCTGGGGAGAGGGACCGGTTGTCTCCTTTCCCTGTAAAGTAAGCTGCTGCTGAGGAGTAGGACAGATTGTCCCTACTCCTGGTAGATCTGGCTGTGGTTGGGGATCTGGGCCAGCTTCTCAGCATCCCTGTAGGGCCGGGGCAGAGACCACGTTGGATGTCATCCCCGGACAAGTTTATCAGGTTCCCTACTTCGGGTACCTCTGGCTGCCGCTGGGGAGAGAGACCAGTTGTCTCCTCTCCCTGTGACGTGTACTGCCTCTGGTGAGTAGGACCGACTGTCCTCCCTCCCGGTACTTCCAGTTGGGGTTGGGAAGGGAGACTGGGTGTCCCCTTTCCTGCATTCCCTGTTCTCAGCTCTGCCATCTGACGCTCAAATTCCCTCCTGTCTTGCAACTCAGTGCTCCACATGGCTTCAATGGTTCGGATACGCTCCACCGACACAGCCGCCGGGTCATAGAAAGCTAATAGTATGCACACTCCATGACAGAACAGCTAATCATTTAGCTAACTTGCTCCATCTTGCGGAGCTCCTCCGTTGACAGGGGTGCTGCACGAACGCTAACGTTGCCCTCCATTATAACTTTAAAGACTGTGTCTCCAGGGTGCTTCTCCTCTCGATAGGAAGCCATCCCACCGCTGCCACCAGATGTGGTGGACTGCCTGGCACTCCAACTAGGTGCCTTTGGTCCATGCGAACGGCCACCAGGGAGCTAGCGTTCGGTTCTATGCACACGAATGGAAAGTGCTGAACCAGGGGGAGTAAAATATGGGTCTTTACAGTCGCTGGCCCATGGTCTTTTGGCAGGAGGCTTGCAAGCAGGCCCCTCCAAAAGCCCGTGCTGAGGTTCTGTTCGCCACATAGTCTACCTGAAAATTTAACCCAGTTGAATTGTACAAATTATGGTGGGCCGAAGTTGCAGGCAGACAGCTGTCCGTTCTGTCTACTTATCACTGTATTTACACATTCGCCTACGTAATTCCATTATTCGGTTTTGTATTTCACCCATTCAGTTCCACCTTTACAGTAGTGTGTAGTCCATTCTGTTTTGCAAATTTCAGACATGGATAAAACCAGATGACCAGAATTTTTTGTATTTGCACAAAAGTGTGTATCAAAAGGTGTCTATTCGAAATCAAACGAAGAATTGAAATGAAATATTGTACACTACAAAACTTGTGTGCACATATACCTGAGCAAATAAAAAAAGTGGAGCATTAAAAGCATATCTCATATATTTTGTGCACTCCATTTTTTTATATTTAGAATGTATTTGGTTGGTCCTTGATCAATTTTGCTTATTCCGACTGTGTGAATTCAGACAAGCGAATAACGATATTGTTTTTGTTTAAGCACAAAAGGCTAAGGTGTACTGAATTTAGTTTTCTATAAATACCTGTGAAATCTGGCAAGTACTATGTATTGTAGTGAGATAATTACAGAGCATGTTTGCATGCGCCAGGCAAATAGTTTGTAGCATCCTGGTGGAGTTGCTATGGCAACGAGTTAAAAAAGCTAAACGTGCTGATATTACAATGCCTAAAGGCTTGTTTGTTACTGACAAGCATGAAAACTAGTCCTTTGTATATTAGTTACAAATAACTGCTACAGAGCTCCACAGGAATAAAACTCACTGTAATGTACAGTAAGTATGAGTGTGCAACAGAGCTCTATAGAAATAAAACTCACTGTAAGGTACAGTAAGTATGAGTGTGCAACAGAGCTCTATAGAAATAAAACTCACTGTAAGGTACAGTAAGTATGAGTGTGCAACAGAGCTCTATAGAAATAAAACTCACTGTAAGGTGCAGTGAGTATGAGTTTGCCACAGAGCTCCACAGCAATAAATCTCACAGTAAGGTGCAGTGAGTATGAGTGCCCCGCAGAGCTCCACAGCAATGATACTCACAGTAAAGTGCAGTGAGTATGAGTGTGCTACAGAGCTCCACAGTAATAAAACTCTCCGCAATGTGTATAGTGTCAGTGTATTAGCCAGATGCACAGCAATATAACTCCACTCAGGGTTATTCACCTAAGTGGGAATTCACAGTGTATCCATATTAAATTTCTATTAAGGCCGGATTAGATGAACTGAAGGCAGAGATGGCAGAGAATTGTTTTACTTTAAATTTGAAATTCACTTTGAATTCTCACTTTAATAAATAAATCTGACTGTAATGAGCAGAGTGTGCGTGTCACAGAGCTCCACAGCAATAAAACAATAATGTGCAGAATGGGAGAGTATCGCAGAGCTCCACAGCAATAAAACAATAATATGCAGAATGGGAGAGTATCACAGAGCTCCACAGCAATAAAACAATAATGTGCAGCATGGGAGAGTATCACAGAGCTCCACAGCAATAAAACATTAATGTGCAGAATGAGAGAGTATCACAGAGCTCCACAGCAATAAAACAATAATGTGCAGAATGGGAGAGTATCACAGAGCTCCACACCTCACTGTGTATGAAAGGTTTGTTTTATTACACTTTCCATCATTCCAATCAGACACTGCAGTAAGATTTTAAAAGAGATACATTACATATACAGACAAAGCAAGACATCATGTATTGACATGCTAAGCGGAAATAATGGAATGCCGTTTTATGGAATAAAGCTCCAACAGCCATTTTCCTTAGATTTAGAATGTAGACAAAGAGCCAGATAATAAAATGGGCAAACATGACATGGAAGACCTTGGAGGTTAAATAAACCCTAAATCAGTAGGTCTCCCATCACGGTGATATGTGAAAATAAAATTGAATATATAAGATATCACATATACTAAAAAGAGAAAAAGACTTGTCGAACAGTAACCTTGATTTAAAAAGAGAAGAAACAGCACTTTGAGTGGCAGTTCTAGGAGAATGTCCCCAAGTGGCAAAAACTACAAAGAATATGCAGCCAACGGTGTACAGACAGGTACAAGAGACAAGCCGGTCCGTGGCTCAGCCTAGTTTAGTTAAGGCGAGGGATTCCACAAATTTCCTCTTGACAACCGGGTTGATTGCTCCAACCATTGCACGTACATTCTGCCGATCAGCTGCTGGGGTATCAGAATACACAGAGTGCAGCCTTACCGACTGGAGACCCAGTGGATTTAAAAAAGGCCACAGGCTCTGCCCCCACTGTGTAGAAAAGTTTATATGATATTATTGATGGCTACAGCAAATATGTAATTGGCTACAATGTTTGAATTAAAATCAAAGTATTATTTAAACAAATGCAACTGTTTAAAGACTCATTCCTGTCATTTGTGTTTGACTGTCGTTACTGTGTGCCCGTTACTGTGTGCCCGTTACTGTGTGTTTTGATGCTGTGAAGCTCTGTCACACACAGACGTAGCACATTTCAATATTTTATTGAGTTATTTATGTGCAGTTCTAAAAGTCACTCATACACAGATTGTTTCATATATAATGCCATTCCCCTGTTTTAGACTCATACACCACACGTTTATGTAAATTGTATTATCACAGAGCTGTTTATAGACTATATCCATACACAATCAACATCTTGAACTCCAGGAAACACATGCACCGTGGAAAGAATGAGGGTCAGAATGACATTGTTCCAATGAGGAGTGTTCATTCATAGAGAGACAATGAGCATGATTTACAGCTTTATCACTGATACATGATCAGACACAACAACAGGGATAGATTCACGAGATCCTAATAGCTTTGAGGTCCATTTATAGAACCAGTTGCTCCCTGCAGAATAAGAATGAAGTGTCCACCACATAGACTCTCCCCCACATACAGAAAGCAGATAATGTTGCCCTCAGTGGGCAGTGCATTATTAGCATCATGTAATTTGCCATATGACTGGTCAGTTCCAAACATATCAATATCCAGGTGGTGCATCCCATCCGAGAAGGGTGCTGGAAACATAGGTGTACCAAGTCTAAGAAACCCCAAAAATGTTGTGGAGGGTAGGAGAGTATTAGATACAGTTAGAGGTTCTTTGCAGAATGTTTTGGTTTTGCTCCACCATTACTGACATCACAACGACACATGACATCATGAAATTCAGAGGAGCCAGTGACATCACCTAATGAAGGCCTGCAAAACCTGTGGCCCCTCGGATGTTTTAAACTACAGCAACCATGATACCTGGCTATTTGTTTCATTAAATGAATCATTGGTGTTGGCTATCTGTTTTATTCAAAGAATCATGGGTGTTGTAGTTCAAAAACATCTAGGGGGCCGCAGGTTGTGCAGGACTGACCTAACGAGTCACACATGTATGAGTAGAACCACTGGATCCTCCAGCACTGCATTAAATCGAGATTCGCTTTATTGGTGGTAATTAGCAGCCAGGCTTGCATGAGGAAGCCTCCAGGAAGAAGGTCATATTCTTTAAGACATCCAGGAAACAAATTGTGCACCTCAGAATATTCAAGGAAGACAGGAGGAATGCAATTATCACATGTAGTGAATACTCGAGATTCCAAAATCTTGATTGCCTCCTCCAACTGCTCAGCAGAAATAAATGTGGAAATAAAGGCCCAGAGAAGACATAAATGAGAGTTCAGGGACAAAACATTCACCATGAAAATAGTAATAATGAGAAAAAGGAATACTCAGATTTACATCCCGCTGGAAAATAAACTTTATGGGCAATGTAAAAGAACTCTGTGTTACACTGTAAGATCTTAATCAGGGTCAGTCATAGCTCCGCCTCCTTGGGTGAGATCACTGAGATTCTCTGGAGGTATGCAGAATATGAACGCACCCACGGCAATAAATCTCACAGTATGTAAATAAATCACAGAGTTCCAAAGTAATAAAACTCACCACACATTACTGTATGTAGAAGTTTAATTTCTAAGCATGTTATTTAGACAAATACATCTGTTTAAAGATCTGTCTCTCTGATTTCTACACACTCACAAAATACATTACAGTCATTATTGTTGCATGTTTTTGTGTATCTCTTTCACATGCAGCTATTAAATGCACTCCTATGAGATTACTGTAAATTGGAATATTTTGAACTTCACAAAAGAGGGACATTTTGGCATCATGGTGGGATGAATGACTTTGTTCCAAAGAAAAATATCTATTCACAAAGAGAAGCAGGAGACATTGTTTATAAGGTATAACTGTGTTATTGTCCTAGAACAGATACTAGCAAGTCACATCCTGCAATAATCTATTACTTCAACAAGGATAGTGAAAAGTAAAGTAATAAATTGTGAGAAGGATATTGCTTTGCTGCAGAGGGATTTGCTTTGCTGCGGAGGGATTTCGATAGATTGGGGGACTGGGCACCAAAATGGAGGATGAAATTTAATGTAGAGAAATGCAAAGTTATGCACTTCGGGGTCAAGAATGCACAAGCAACTTACACCTTTAATGGTTGTGAATTAGGGATAACCACACACAAGAAGGATTTGGGAATTGTTATAGACAACAAATTAGGCAGCAATATGCAATGTCAATCTGCAGTTGCTAAGGCCAGTAAGGTATAAATAGGGGCATAAATTCTCGGGATGAAAATATAATATTGCCTCTTTATAAATTGCTGGTAAGACCACACCTTGAATATGCTGTGCAATTTTGGGCACCTGTTCTAAAAAAGGATGTCATGGCACTAGAAAAAGTGCAGAAACAAGCCACAAAATTGCTAAAAGGAATGGAGCATTTTATTTACGAAGAAAGGTTAAAAAATTAAAATCTCTTTAGTTTGCAAAACAGCACCTCAGAGGGGATATGATAACATTATACACATATATTCAGGGCCAGTACAAACCATTATATGGAAATCTATTCATAAACGGGCTATACATAGGACACGAGGTCACACATTTAGGCTTGAAGAAAGGAGATTTCATCTAAGGCAAGAAAAGTTTTTTTTACAGTAAGAGTAATAAGGATATGGAATTCTCTGCCTGAAGAGGTGGTTTTATCAGAGTCCATCCAGATGTTTAAACAGCAATTGGATAAATACTTGCAAAAACATAACATACAGGGATATAATTTCTAATTAGTGTGGAAATAGATGCTTGATCCAAGGAGATATCTGACTGCTATTTTGGGGTCAATAGGGAATTTTTTCCTAGTTTGTTGCAAAATTGGAAGCACTTCAGACTGGGTTTTTTGCCTTCTTTTGGATAAACGGCAAAACGATATGTGAGAAAGGCTGAACTTGATGGACGCAAGTCTCTTTTCAGCTATGTAACTATGGAACTATTATAGATTCTTAATAGCTTTGATGTCCATTTCGAGAACCAGTTGCTGCCTGCAGAGTTTGAATGGAGTGAACCCTTTAAAGAAGTCATTGAGCCCAGCATGTAGACTCTCCTCTATGTACACAAAGCAGATAATACTGCCACCAGTGGACAATTTCTTCACAGCCTCCTTTAGCTGGTATAGTACATGTATTTTGGCAAATGACAGGTCAGTTCCAAATATATCTATATCCAGGCGGTGCTTCCCTTCACCTAAGGGTACTCGAAGCATAGGGGATCCAAGGCTGAGGAATCCTAAAAAGCCATTGGACGGTGCAGGAGTAGTTGAAGCAGTGAGGTCATCTTTGCTTGCAGATTGCTTTGTTTTTTTGATACCATTATTGACATCAAAGCTACATTTGACATCATGCAATTCAGATGAGCCAGTGACATCACCTAATGCATCACATGGGTATGAGCAGAGCCACTGGACCTTCCAGCGATGCATTAAATCAAGATTGGCTTTATTGGTGGTAATTGGCAGCCAGGCTTGCATGAGGAAGCCTCCAGGAAGAAGGTCATATTCTTTAAGACATCCAGGAAACAAATTGTGCACCTCAGAATATTCAAGGAAGACAGGAGGAATGCAATTATCACATGTAGCAGATACTCGAGATTCCAAAATCTTGACTGCATCCTCCAACTGCTCAGCAGAAATAAATACAGAAATTACAGCCTGCAGGAGACATAAATGAGAGATCAGGGCAAGAAGGACACCTTGAAAATAGCGATGATGCCAAAGCTTGTTAAATTTATATATCAGGGCCCCCCTTAAAAAAGAAACAAAGTGACTACATGCAAAGTTCCTAGTAACACAGTATATCCTTAGGTATATCCAATTATTACATTTTAAATTGTGTGCTACTAAGCTTGCCCAAGGAATACTAGTGAAATTTGGTAAATGTATTTGTAACCCAAACAACCTACACATGCCGTGCTGGATATTGCAGTACTCCATGCATTGCATAACACACAGGGAATGTAAAAAGGAAGCATAGCTAGGCATAACACACAGGGAATGTAAAAAGGAAGCATAGCTAGGCATAACACACAGGGAATGTAAAAAGGAAGCATAGCTAGGCATAACACACAGGGAATGTAAAAAGGAAGCATAGATTGGCATAACACACAGGGAATGTAAAAAGGAAGCATAGATTGGCATAACACACAGGGAATGTAAAAAGGAAGCATAGCTAGGCATAACACACAGGAAATGTAAAAAGGAAGCATAGATTGGCATAACACACAAGGATGTAAAAAGGAAGCATAGATAGGCATAACACACAGGGAATGTAAAAAGGAAGCATAGATAGGCATAACACACAGGGAATGTAAAAAGGAAGCATAGCTAGGCATAACACACAGGGAATGTAAAAGGGAAGCATGGCTAGGTATAACACACAGGGAATGTAAAAAGGAAGCATAGATTGGCATAACACACAGGGAATGTAAAAAGGAAGCATAGATAGACATAACACACAGGGAATGTAAAAAGGAAGCATAGCTAGGCATAACACACAGGGAATGTAAAAAGGAAGCATAGCTAGGCATAACACATAGGGAATGTAAAAAGGAAGCATAGATAGGCATAACACACGGGGAATGTAAAAAGGAAGCATAGCTAGGCATAACATACAGGGAATGTAAAAAGGAAGCATAGCTAGGCATAACACACAGGGAATGTAAAAAGGAAGCATAGCTAGGCATAACATACAGGGAATGTAAAAAGGAAGCATAGCTAGGCATAACACACAGGGAATGTAAAAAGGAAGCATAGATAGACATAACACACAGGGAGTGTAAAAAGGAAGCATAGCTAGGTAAAACACACAGGGAATGTAAAAAGGAAGCATAGCTAGGCATAACACACAGGGAATGTAAAAAGGAAGCATAGCTAGACATAACACACAGGGAATGTAAAAAGGAAGCATAGCTAGGCATAACACACAGGGAATGTAAAAAGGAAGCATAGATTGGCATAACACACAGGGAATTTAAAAAGGAAGCATAGATAGCAATAACACACAGGGAATGTAAAAAGGAAGCATAGCTAGGCATAACACATAGGGAATGTAAAAAGGAAGCATAGATAGGCATTACACACAGGGAATGTAAAAAGGAAGCATAGCTAGGCATAACATACAGGGAATGTAAAAAGGAAGCATAGCTAGGCATAACACACAGGGAATGTAAAAAGGAAGCATAGCTAGGCATAACACACAGGGAATGTAAAAAGGAAGCATAGCTAGGCATTACACACAGGGAATGTAAAAAGGAAGCATAGCTAGGTATAACACACAGGGAATGTAAAAAGGAAGCATGGCTAGGTATAACACAAAGGGAATGTAAAAAGGAAGCATATATAGGCATTACACACAGGGAATGTAAAAAGGAAGCATAGCTAGGCATAACATACAGGGAATGTAAAAAGGAAGCATAGCTAGATATCAGTAATAGTAAATAGTGAACTTATTAGTAAGTAGTACATACTTCCACTATCCGTGGCATCTCTTTGATACTTTCAACTCCCTTTTTTGCCATGGCCACCCCCAAACAAGTTGATGGTAGGTGCATAAGCCCATCCTTGAAATCTTGGTGTCTTTTGCTAAATCCTGACAATTCCACCTGAAAAGCATTGCCCATATTGGCCCCTTCCTTATGGAAGATTCTACTAAAGAGCTTTTCATGTCCTTGTAATTTCTTGCAATGATTACTGTAAATGTGTCCTAAAGGATACAACAGTCTACTGTCCATAATTAATGCTTAATCCCATCACTCTTCTCACCCCTTGCCCTCTGTCAATCATTTTATTGTCTCCTGTACCCTGTAGGATTCGATTCAAAATACTAACCCATACCAATAAAGCTCTAAACAACTCTATCCCTATTACATAGTTGAACTTGCAAGACTTCTTGTGAGCGGCTCCTCTCTTTTGAAACATCCTGCCTACTACCATCAGATTTTCCTCTAGTCTTCAATTATTTAAGAAGTCCCTCAAAAACCATCTCTTCAGAGCAGCCTATGGTCTCCTGTAGTAACTTGTATTTCACAAACATATCTCTTACCCTCTCTTAAAGGGCCAGACTCCACTCTCACCTTTCAATTCTGCCACTTCCCACCCCATCAATTGGTTGCTATCCTCAATGCTGTCCTTCCAATTGTGTTTTGTACACACTGCCTCTAGAATGTAAGCTCTTTCAAGCAGGGTCCTCATCAACCTATTGTTTCTGTAACATATTGCAATTGTCTCATTTATTGTTAAATTTCCCCATTTATGATATTGTAAAGCACAATGGACTATGTGCAATATAAATTATAAAATGAATAATACACAGGGAAGGGTAGAGAAAATAACACTCCAAATCAATCAAACCCTGAATGTGCTTTCGAAGACACGCGGGTGATAATAATCTAGACCATCAGAGCCCAAAATGTAGATTCCCAGATGTTTTAAAACTACAGCTTCCATGATACTTTGTCCTTTTAAAGCATTCTAAAGGCATGCAAAGCATCATGGGATTTGTAGTTCTACAACATCTGGGATATACCTTTTGCCCCTACCCCTGATCTAGACAATACTATTCCGTATGTGGCTCTTCTTGTCTACATTTTCGGCATAGGAATCCTACCGAGACTGGATTTTTTTTTTAAATTATGTTTGGTTTAAAAAAATTTCATACTACGTTTTATCTTCAGCCTCCTTTAGGTTGCTTTGCTCTATTTCTCATTGCAGTTTAGTCTTAGGGTTACCCCTGTTTTTTGCAGCTAGTAATTGCTCAATGATCTAGCTCCCATTGTGTAAGCTACATGTAAGGGGCAATAGTCAGGAGATAAAACGTGGACTGTAATCAACTGTTTTACTAAATGTAAGAAAATACTTGTAATTAAGCTGTAATTTTGTGTACTAATTTTAATAAATACCCATTTCAGTGCTTGTAGCAGTTTACCCTTGCTCATGGGAATAGTAAGTCTTCCATTTACCACACAGGAAATAAAGAATCATGCTCAAAACCGAGTATATATATAAAAAAAAAACCACTTTGCCCTGTTTTAAGTCATACATCACTCATATCGGGATATTCTATCCACATGTACCATGTTAATATCCGTAATGTCAAACAGTTAAGTAACTGCTTGTGTATATAAAGTCACTAACCCTAAACAATCTAATGCACTTCAGAAACCTTCTCAGATATACGGTATGGAAAAATGTATCCTGGTACTGTTACATCATGTTTGGTTGGAAGCCCAGTTCACCAGATTGGAGGCTATGATCAGTTTATCCAGACATATCAAAGATGGATCCTGGCACTCATGAAAGAAGTTGAAATGGCTGAAATATTTCAATGCCTTTGGAATCATGATTTTAAATGTGTATTATCTTCAAAAAAGAGGTGTGCTGCCTTTTAAATTTCTCCCTGGTGCCAGGATGCATTTGTGCCTTTTTGATCAATTGTCCATGATCTGCAGTCTGATAAGTGGACCTTTCAACCAAAGAGGACTTATGGCCACCCCCAAGAGAAAGGGTAAACCAGTAGATATACTGAACAATAGGTATTTACTTACATGTGTATATTACAAAATAATACATATAAGGTATTTATAAAAAAAAAAACAAAAAAAAAACTGATGACAGTTCTTCTTTAAAATGTCTCTTTTTGAATATCTTCTTTTTAAATGTAGATGCTTTTGTTTAGCAGCTTTGGTATAGTGACCGTTATTAAACTTACATGATCAGCATAGAAAATTATGAAATTGTTTAGCTTTGAAAATTCAAAAGGAGTCATATATTGTAAATACACAAATCAAAGGATGAACACCTAAAAAGATGAAGCATATGAAATAAAAAGCTAGAAAAAGATTGTAGAGAGATAATGGATTAGATGCAATGAGGTCACCTTGGAGTGTATAATTTGATACGTATTCAACATGGTCGCAGGTGGGTTTTCTACAGTAGTCAGACGAATTCTGGTGACATTGGAATGGTCTGAACGTAAGGTTTTAAAGCAAAACCTTTGAAGTATCCCAGCCACTCCACAACCTCTCATCCAATCGGCAACACGAAGACCCTGCACGACAGCTGTAATACCACCATCAACCAATAAGAAGGAGTCGAACCCCACCTAAAAATAGAGACCACAATCATGTCAAGAAAGAAAATGCACGTTACGTCACTAATTAATTATTTCCATTGGTTTGATATCCAGTAAGTTCAATAAGGTGTCTTTAATTAATGTAATCCCTCACACTCACCACTTTGCCCTCTGATTTGGCAACAAACATCCTCCTCTGAGAGTCCTTCAGCCATGTGTGGTATCGGTATGGCAAGTAATCCACCCCCATGTAGATCCCTTCTGAGATTGCCATGACCCCTTCATAATCTCCAGCAGTGGCAGGAAAGATCTGTACATCAGGAGTTAAAAGAGAAGACATCATAAGAAGTGAACCTTTATCAGCTTGCTTTATACTGCTGAAAACACTGAAACAATGTCTAAAATATAAAGACAGAGTTGAAAACAGCAAACCTCACCTTTGGCCTCAAACGTTCTACAAGCACCTCCTTCTCATACTCTAAACTCATCCGGGTACATACTTTTCAACTCCTTGTAGTAAAATAACAGAAAAAAAACCATAGGTCACATGCCTCTTACTAATCATAATACATATGTATCAGGACTCATAGCATACACAGACACAGCACAAAAGTGCTGTCAAGGTAACCCACAGTAAGTATGCTCTGTGACACCAAGAGAGATAGAGGTGCAGGGCAAGGATAGACCTCCCAACTCACCTGCCTTCACCCAGTGGACATGCAGCCTGCTGGCAACCAGGGATCTTAATGCCCCCCTTAACCACCCTATTTTTACTTCATAGTTAGAAATTTCTCTCTGCAGATTTGACTATTATTAATAACTTTGCCTGTTGCCACATCTGTATAGCTCAAACTTACACTAATTAGTCACAACTTTAAAAGCATCTGCCTAATATCATGAAGGTCCCCTGACAAAACAGTTTTGCATTGAGGTATGGACTCCACAAGACCTCTGCACGTGTTCTGTGGTATCTGGCATCAAAACATTAACAGTAGATCATTAAAGTCCTGCAAGTTGCGAGGTGGGGCCTCCGTGGATCAGATTTGTTGTTTCAGCACACCCCAAAGATCCTCAATCGGATTGAGATCTGGGGAATTTGGAGGCCAAGGCAACAGTTCGACCACCTTGTCATGTTCCTCAAACATTCTGGAAATGTTTTGCAGTGTAACAGGGTGCATTATCCGGCTGAAAAATGCCACTGCTTTCAGGGAACACTATTGCCATTAAGTGGTGTATGTGGTCTGCAACAATCTCAAGAATTGTCAAAATAACACCCACATGAATGCTACGACCCAAGCTTTTCCCAGCAGAACATTACCCGGAGCATAACACTGCCTCCACTGGCCTGCCTTGCTCCCATAGTGCATCCTGCTGCCATCTCTTCCTCAGGTAAACAATGCACATGCACCTGACTTTTTCCCCAGTTAGATTAATATTTAATAATTAAGTTTCCAATTAATTAGTATTTAAATGAGCATAACACTTAAAAAAATATAGAGAGTTACACTCTCTGCAACATACAGGAAAACAATAGTGTTAATAAAGATATAGCACAATGGATAACAATATGATGAGCTGTGGTCAGCAAAGTTGCACCTGTTAAAATGTTATCTCCACTAATTATACGGATCCAATACCAATAAAGCTTATCTGGCAACCTCACTGGGGGTGTCATTAGCCAGCTTAAAGAAGATTGTCATTGATTTGCTGAGAGCAGGCAGCTGAAGCTGTCAGGCAATGAGTGGTGAGGGCAATGGCATCCAGCATCTGCAGCTCTGAAGAAACTAGATGAATGTCACCAGACATGCAAGGTGGCTTGGCACTTGGTGGGGAACCAAGCTAGGGCAAATCTGTTTACCCAACTAACAGAGAACGGCTCAGGATACTTGTAATATACAAAGTAAATGTCTTGGGTGATTCGAGTTTCGTCCATGTGGGGCTTTGATTCAGAAGAATTTGGGCCACGCAATCATTCATGTAGAATTGATTTGTAAGAAACTAAATGGCACAAGAATTGGCAAATCACTGTACTGTATGCCATTCAAGTATGAAGAAGTAACGCATATTCATAGATTATATATTTATTGCAGATTTTTTCTCCTTTTTTTACCTTTTAGTGCTCATTTTTCACTTGATCTGTGAATAAAATCAACATTTAGTGACTGTCATCTAACCATCAATCATATTTGTTTCCCTAAATCACCTTTTTGTTTTGCCACTATAGATGGAACTACAGATCATGAGAGAAAGAAAACAGTTGCTTGTAATGTTCATTTAGTTTGTTTTGTTATTTGTCCGTATAGTTTTTCTGAGTTCGAGATTTCAGGTGAATCTCTCTGATCACTCAAAATTCGATGAATGACACAATAATTGAGAAGACAATTTAGAAACATACTCATGATAGTATTCATTTGGAACATAATACATTAACGCCTTCCAGACTTTGGACATATCAGGTATTTCCAACAAAAAATGGTCTTTAAGCACCGCGGACATACCTGATACAAGGCATCCTGCAATAACCCCCATCACTGCCGGGCCGCCGGGTGATTTCTGCCCCGGAGCAATCACTTTCTGGTTGCCTCACGTGGTGCCTCTCCCTTCATATGCAGGGCCGCCATCAGGGGGTGACAACCATGACTGTTGTCACGGGCCCGGTGGCCATGGGAGGCCCGGACTGCTCTGGCAGTCCTGGGCCCCACTTTCTTTCTCTGCACACATAGATAGCGAATATCGCTATCTATGTGTGCAGCCGCGGGCCCCCCCGGCTCCCTGTTACCGCAGAGGGGGCCCAGGCAGCACACAGCTTCTCCTCTCTTCTCGCGGAGCATTGCCATGGTAACCGGGTCTTGCAAGAGTTATTAGAAGAGAGAAGAGAGGAGCTGTGTGCTGCCTGGGCCCCCTCTGCGATGACAGGGAGCCGGGGGGGGAGGGGCCCCCCCACCGGACCACCACGGATGGAATCTCCCCCCTCCCTGGACACAGGTAAGCAGGGAGGGGGAAATATCATTTACATTTAATTTACACATTGCACATTTACACACACACACTGCATACACTAACACAACACACACACATTGCATACACTAACACAACACACACACTGCATACACTAACACAACACACACTCTGCATACACTAATACAACACACACTGCATACACTAATACAATACACACACTGCATACTCGAATACAACATACACTCTGCATACACTACACACTAACACACTCACTGCATCCACTATACTGACACACACTTTGCAATCGCTACACATTAACACACTCTGCATTCACTACACTAACACACACTCTGCATCCGCTACACTAACACACACTCCGCATCCGCATCCGCTACACACTAACACACTCTCTGCATTCACTACACATTAACACTCTGCATTCACTACACTAACACACACTCTGCATACGCTACACACTAACACACTCTCTGCATTCACTACACATTAACACACACTCTGCATTCACTACAAATTTACACACACTCTGCATTCACTGCACTAACACACACACACTGCATTCATTACACTGACACACTCTGCATTCACTACACACTAACACACACTCTGCAGTCATTACACACTAACACACACTCTGCATTCACTAAACTATGCACACACTCTGGATTCACTATACTGACACACACTCTGCATTCACTACACTAACATACACTCTGTATTAACTGTACACACAGCATCCAATACACAAACATCCTGTATTCACAGTACACACACTACATCCACCACAAATTGAAACACTCTGCATTCACTATACACAGACACTGCGTCTAATACACACTACATCCACTACAGACACTGCATCCACTAAACACATTTCATCTAGTACATACAAACACTACATTCACTACACAAACACATACCACATCACTGTACACACACTACATCCACTACTCAAATACACTCTGCGTTCATTATACACACTGCATCTGCTACACAAACACACACTGCATTCACTGCACAAACAGTATCTAATACACACAAACACTACATCCATTACACACATTCTAATTCACTTCCACTATACACACCACATTCAGTCCTATATCATTGTGAGCGGACTAGGTAGGGCGTGGGCGGGCCCGGGAAGGATGGAGGGGGGGGGGGGCAGACCTTGTACTTTATCAGGGGCCCCAAAATTTCTGATGGCGGCCCTGTTCATATGTACTATATGTACTGTTCTTCTTCTATGGGGGGATTGTCTAACAGCCCAGACAGTCCCCCCTCTGCAAATTAGGACCCCCCCCAGGGGCCATGTGATCACTCTGAAACAGCGGACACGTGACCATAGTCCCCCTTCTGGTGAAAAAAGTTTTAAAAAAGTAAAATAAATAAATAATCAAGTTAATAAAAAAAAAAATATATATATATATATATATATGCAATCCTGGAAAGTCCCGCACTCAATTTGCCGGTCTTGTACTTGCCTCGGTGCTACCTCAGCCGTAATAAATATCGAAGAAAAACGAGTGCACTCCAGAGGTCTTCTTTTAGAAAAATGACATTAAATTTATTACAAAAACGTGTAGTAATACAACATGATCTAGTCGACTAGATCATGTTGTATTACTACACGTTTTTGTAATAAATTTAATGTCATTTTTCTAAAAGAAGACCTCTGGAGTGCACTCGTTTTTCTTCGATATATATATATATATATATATATATATATATATATGTGCATATATATGAGATATATACATACATTATAACGCTATATATGTATATCATATATATCATACTAAGTGTATGTTATTATTAATATATTCATTTATTAATATGAAATACACTTAGCGTAAAATTACACACACATATATATATATATTGTAAAAAATAAGTAACAATTGATTTAAAAAATAATTTATTTTTATTTTTAAATTAAACAAATATGTAATTTTATTCTAATTGTATTTTGATAATATATATATATATTTAAAAATACACTTAGAATGAAATTATATATATATATATATATATATATCTATGTATATATAAATAAATAAAAATAATATGATGTCCATATACATAATCACATAAATAATTTCATAAATATACACGTAGACTTCAAATATATAAATATATATATATTATATATATATTATATATATATATATTTAAATTCTAGGTGAAAATGTATGTAATATTCTTAAATAATTAAGTAATTTTAATCATTGCAATTTGGGGGACCTGCCTAACAACCCAGGCCGAAAGTCCAGAAAATTCTATTTGCTAGCACTTTATTTAACCCTGTAACTTTCCAAGACACCCTAAAACCTGTACATTGGGGGTACTGTTTTACTCAGAAAAACTTTGCTAAACACAACTATTAGTGTTTCAAAACAGTAAAACATATCACAATGATGATTTGAAGTGGAAGTGAGTTTTTTTGCATTTCTCACACACATACAGCACTTTCACTGACGATATCCTTGTTGTAGTAAGTTTTACTGTT